AACTGACCTATAATGTTTTGCTAATTACGCATTATTACTTTAACGAAATTTTCAAAACAATTGCACTTAATATAAACGATAAAAACGTAATATTTGTATGAGGATGCCATATTGAGACAGCATATCGCGTGTCAAAATTTTTAAAAACAAATTCGCAACCGAAGCTTCCATCTGACGAACGTGGCGCAGGCGTGCCTTCTCACGGCCTGCGTTGCTCGGCCGAGACTGCTAAGCAGTACCTGGAATAAATTGTAAAAAAGTATTTGAAAATAAACTGTGTACGTTTCTGATCTTATTTCCGCACCAAAAAAACAAAAATTATTTTGCAATACAAGGGCTCTACAATTTAATCCATTATCACAAAAACTCAGATTTTGTAGGTGTTTATAAGAAAAGAATGTCATTATCAAAAAATGAATATACAATTTTATTGTACCAGATTTTATTATGTTACTTACTCTTTGCTTTACTCCTTCTGACAAACAGGACAGCAACAGCAGCACGCACAACACGGTTTCACAAGCTCCTCACCATCACCGCAGTCTGTTATTTTACATTCCATGCCACACGCTATTGTGCATATTGGCGTGGAATAAACTTCGTATAAAATTACTGCCAGCAAGCAGATTAATAATACCGCACCGAATCTTTTCATATTGGTACCGTACGTCTGAAACAAAAAAATGTAGGGAACCAATCGTAACATTTATTATCATTCCTATTACTATTATTACTATTAATATTGTTATTATTATTGTTATAATTATCATTAAAGGAATAGAGAGTGTGAATGTTGCCTTAAATCAGACGATAGAAAACCCTGGTAAATATATTGATCAATTATATCAATTTCATTTTTTGATGAAACTGCATGAATGCAACTGAATATCTAAAGTCTCACCAGCCGGGACCTCAAAATTTATCCCGCCTGGGGTGGTGGTGGAAAAACCTTGATAAGGAAAACCCCCTAAGCCAGCATGCGGGTAAGCGCCGGATCTCGCCATCCAGCGGGAGGGAAACCACTACCTTCCATAATAAAAACACGCACTACACTCACGGAACTAATGACCATAGCACTTAACACGCCCAGAAACATGAAATAATCAATCAATTTAGGGCTTGTAATTTTTAGAGGTCAATAAACATAGAAAATCGACACCCCAAAAGAGCAAGCTTCCAATGGGCACCCACGGGCGAAATGAATTAAGCGGAGAGGTGACACGGTGCAAAATATCACTTTAAATGCATGTTCTAAATAAACAAACACCTCTAATGTTGAACGAAAAATGCGGATGAATAAAATGAAATAATGCTCAACAAATTTGTGAATAAACACCAAATAACAAATGTCACAACATATCAAGTGATGGCTGAATGCTAGATGGGAAATTCCAAGCTTGAACTTACCGCATCGAACATTACAAACGTAGAGTAGATTTAACGTATTCGTACTTTGGAGAACAACAGCTCGATTCATCATGCTTTGATTATAATGGAATACTTTTATTCATGTTAATTTGAGATATGTTACAACTTATTTTTTGACTTTTGGCCAAGAATTATTCCATTTTTCCACATAATCACCGTTTGCACTCTATATGCTAGGGTACTGCTCCTGCATTCGCCTATTAGAAATCAGAAAAATCAAGGAAAACTACCAATCCAAGAAGAGCACTCGGTAGCTAGAATCCTCCATACAGCAGCCAAATCATCCTAGCTACGTAGCTTTAGCTACGTATGTTCCAACACCATCCTACGAATGTCCCAACACCATCGGGTCTCGAAATCTAGGCCCTCACGGTCAGAGCAGGCGGTCTGCAGAGCAAGCGGTAATCCTGACTGTACTAAGCCTGTCAATATGATCTTCAAACTATTATACATATTGTTTTGCTTTCAACTTCTATTTACGCTGACTTTTGTGATTGCGCACTTCAACGAAGATCGGCAAGAGGAAGATAATTTGCGATGTTCTAGTGCCACGCACTCCTGAGACGATGGGTGCACACGTTCAAACTCCCAGAATTTCCCTCTAGAACCTGCCGATGAATGACATTCAGGCCCTCCCCGACACTGGGCGAATTTCTGGGCTCTTGAGAAGCCAGCCGCTCGCGGCTGCTCAACGAGCCACTGTGTTGGACAGGTCTTCCACAGACGGTGCGCTTCTCTTAGTATCACTCGAGGTAGTCACCGCCGCCTCGAATATTGAACTTCCAGACAAGCCGACTAAAAGAATAGTAACAATGGAGGTCTACACGTACCTAGGCCTTTAACTCGCCGCGACATTTGATGTTAAAAAGTTAAGACCTGTGCGTCACTGGAACACAAGCGACGTGTTCAAAACATTTTCAGAACAAAGTTTAATGGTGAAAATTTTAGTCAGTCCATGAACGGCTGGAAAGTACCGATAATTTCGTACAGTGCTGAACACAATCGGAAATGAATAATCAGGATCCAATCTCAAGGAAATACGTTACTCGTACACATACCATTTAGCTTAAAATGTATCTTTAATCTAGGAAGCACCTGATACATCAATAAATAAATAAATAAATAAAAATGAACATTCAAAATGGCATGGCAAGTCACTTCATGCACAATACTCCAGCACATCGAAGAAAATTGGGCGGTATTCTCACCTGGGGCTGATTGCTGAATGAGGTTCCCCTAAGGAAGAGACCGAAGGTATTTTGTGCTTCTTTTTATTGGTTGTTGGTGACACTATAATCTCTTACTAATGTGTATTCAAAATATCAGCACCGTAAGACTCTTTGCATTTATCACAGGCAAAGTCTATTTACGCAGCGCCAGTGACACGAAAACGAAAGTACACGTGGATTGCTATCTTCTTTAAATACGTTATCAGTTACAAATGATATAGCCTTGTCTCAGATATGGTAATTGCTTCTAATCAACTACCACATTTTAAAAATAATTTATATCCTTGTTCAAGATAAATATGTTTCTTAAAGAACTAAAAATTAATACAAATACAATAGCTAAAAACAATAGTACAATAATAATTTATGAAATACTCACTGAAGAACTCGAAAGGAAATGAGTAAAGAGATTAGGAATCTAGTATTAAAATGTATGTTTCATTGTGTAGAACTACAAGTTAGATACTCGCGTACAGAGAGTACTGCAGCGAAATTCGACAAATTTTCAACCTGTCCTGATTCAGAACAAAAATGATAATCTTGCTTATACAATAATTGGGCTCAATAAATTTCTGTAATATACTGCGTAGTCAGAATCCAAGTTTTGTAGGTTCTTGATATCAAAAGATTGGTTTACGCCAATTGGCTGAACTGAAGAGAAAGATATTCACCAAATCTGACATTCCCCTGGTCTCTGGTTGATCTCACGGTTATTGTAACGTATATTTCTATTTTGGTGATTACTTAACATGGTGCCTCAAAGACATATTAAAATTATTCTGAAAAATTTCTCCACATTTTCCTTTTATTTTTTCCTAGATAGATCAAGATGCACTTACAAAAATGGTGCAGGTTCCATTTTCGTTTAATATTTAGTTTTTTGAAAATTGCAAAGGGTTATATTTTCCTTTAACGTCACCTACGCCAACAACTATTCCTTCTCCCAATGCCTTCTTAATACTAAAATATTGAAGACAAAGGTTTTTTTGTAAATGTATATATTTACAGAGTTATAGACGTAATGTAGAGAAAGTTATGTAATGCTGAGGAAAATTGATTTCGAGATTTCAACAAAAATGCATGTTTTGGTGTCCGATTTTGTGAGTCTGCATGTTTGAAAATTCTTTAAATTTTGGGGTAAGTACTGTACGTAAAGCAGTTGGACATTCGCAAAATATTCTGAAAAATGAGACCTAATTTATTCTTTATATTCATTACAAAAGTAGAGTTGAATATGCTTATACAACTGGAGTAGGTCGTATTTTCACTGTTAACTTTGAGTTTCCAAAAATTAGAAAAGTTTTATTTTTTCTGTTTTTTTCTCCTCTTTTTACAACTACAATATTGAAGTATCTTCCCAAGCAGGACACCTTCCGGACAGGACAACCACTAAACTCCCGGCTGGTCTTGCACAGGTGGATCGAGTGAAGTGAATGTAAGCGTGTGTGTGTGTGTGGGAGTGTAAGAGCAGAGGACGTGACAAAGATAGGGATGTAATAATCGGCGCGATCCTTGGCCCATTTGTTAGGGCACTGCTCTAGCATCCATTCGTATTGATCGGCGAAATGGAAAATTACTGACCAATAGCATCCGAGTGCTAGGATTCTCCTTCAGACAACGGCTGAATTCGACCCAGCGCTGTAGCTCGTGCCGAAAATCTTCCACCGCCAGTATTCAAACCCTACTATCTCCCGTTCCACGATGTTGACGAGACAACGAGCTGTGGAGACGTAGACGAGTCTGTTCACAAATTGTGCGGTGCTCAGTAAATTGCGTGGTCGGGGTTTAACTAAGCGTGAAGAACACGTCATTTAATGGGTTGAGCGGTCGTTAACATCAGTGTAGGCTGCACGAGAACGCGTAAGCCAGAGGCGCAGCATGGCGCCCTGCTGACAGACAACAAACCAATTTACCTCGGTGTTTGTCACCACTCTGGGAGAGCGGATATGAAAACTGCCATCTTCTCAAAGGAAAGGGGAAACTGTTTTCGCTAAGGGTGTTCGATGACCCCGGAAGCATATCCGAATGATCACAATGCTCATTGTGCATAGCCGCACTTCCCTTGCTTTTCGTACAAAGCTTCTGACATGATTTAAGGTTGATCCTCATGTAAGCGAAGACCCGCCCTGTTTGTTCAAATCGTTTAAAATAGCATTCTATCCTTCCATAAACGAAGTTGAAAGCATGTGGTTGTTTCATTTTATATTATGTATTGCTCACGGTTAGTGTAAGTCGCATTTTATCCTCGGCCTTATTTCTCATGTCACTTACCTTGAAACTTTTCTATTGAATATACTGAACTAATATTAGTGTTGCGGGTGCAGTAACATATTCACACAGAAACTAAGGGTTACGGCTTTTTGGATATGGGGTCATAACAAGAACGTGCATGTTGTACTTGCCATGTCGTGCTATCTCCTCAACATTGTCTCTCGTCATCTGAAGAATATCACACTCTTTTTCATGTAAGGTAAGAGTCACTTCTGCCTGCAGACAGAATTTTTGGAATAACAAAGAAATTTTGGAAAAGAAATGAAAGAGGAATTTGGAAATCTTTCAACCACATTTACTGACTCACGAAATTTATCTGATTTTTAGTTTGGTACATATACTAGGAAAAGACAGGTCTCTTAAAATATAATATATCTCATAAACTGAAGCCAGATCAACGGATTGATTATCCATTAAATCTCTTCAGCACAGTTTTGAAAAGAGCGCAAGTAGGGCACATGTTAAATCATTATTTGGCTGTATCATCTACCTGTAATATTAAGCCATTACAGTACCTACATCCTACCGTGTTCTAACCTTTCGAGTTCTGGTATTCACCCCAAATGGTCTCTCCATCGTTACAAAGCCGTGGAAAAGATACCATAAGGTGCTGAGGAAAAAACCTTTGAAGGGAGAAAGCCTGCCGTCAAAGGACGAGTTCAGGGTAATCGACCAAACTTTTTCTAAACTATTTATTTTCGGGCGCGGGCGTATCGCATTCTGCTTCCAGTCTTCGTCCTCCTCAGTACCTGAAATCAAACAGCGCCACACAAGATTGTCGGCACTAATGCCTTTGCACATACTTTTGGGCCTCCCTCTTCTCTTTGCCCCACAATGTGCTTATTTAATTCATTATTTGACAATTTCTTTTTTATAGTTATTTATTTATTTTTAAGGCATTTACTTATTACTTAACAGTTAACTATGATTTATGACTTATTTACTTAATAGTTTACTAACTTAACTTAAATGAATGATTAAATTATTTATTGTTTGCTTAACTTATTTCCTCTCCAGTCTAGGCTCTCTTTATACTACTGAAAAGTGCTGGTTTCCCACTCCCTAATTTCCGTTTCCTTAATGGTCCGAAACTTTCACAGAAATGTTACAAATTGTTTTATGAAGTGAGACGTTTAATCATTTAATATGTTCTGGGCGAGCGTTACGTTTGTATGTTGGAAGTAGTAGTTTCCCCATTCCCATCCATTTTCGTTTCCCAAGTTTCTGTCCCACAGCAATTTAAACGGGTGTGGATCCAAACTTCCCTATCGCCGCAAAGCACATAGATAACATTAGCATTCGCGTCTTTCAATCTACGTTGCATCCACCCACCGACGCTGATCCCAGCTTATCCCCCTCTCGTGTCCCTTCTAAGTGTGTGAACGTAACCTTCACAATGTGCGTTTGTGCCACTAGCGAACGTTTTTCGTGCTCCGATGCCAGGAAATCTTACCTTTAAAATCCGCAAGCCTTCCAGAGACTAGTCGATCTATGTGTTCCCCTATCCTCCACCGTCTCTAGTGAAACTTCTCCGAGACCTGGGTCGTTCTAGGAAATGTTTAATTTTGAACGACTGGTAGCATTGGTCGCTTCCCTGTAACTGAGCTCTAAAGCACCTATGTATAAGCGTGTCAACCTGTTCACCTGCTAATCTAAATCAACGTTTAATAGGTTTCATTTTAAAATATTTCCAAATTCCTATACTTCCGATCTCTCTTAAGTCCCCGCCATTTGCTGCAAATCTAGAGACTCCGAGAATTAATTTGTAATATTGTTTCGATGCTTTCTTGTTGATCTATTCCATCCACACCCCAGATTTCTGCCCCATAAATGTATCATAAACCAGTAGCCATAAATCATCAACCATAAATCAGTAATGTTACTGAGACAAAAATGGTGATATTGAGAACTTTCTGAGGAGATGGTTATGAGCGGACTGGAGAAGTGAAACCAGTTTGCAGTTTTATCAGATTGTTCTGGATTCAGAACCTGCTCCCAGTGATGTTTCTACTGATCAAAATGAGACATTGTGACTATTTAGAAGAATAGCGTGTATTAAGCATTTGAGAAGCTATGCTCATTGCATTAACTCTCCCTAAACATAGTGATAAATCATAATATCATTTTTTTCATTTATATAATAAGTTAATAATACATTAGTAAATTATGTTTATCTGTTATTAAATATCCATCTAAATACACTAATGAATGTACAATAAAAATTATAGATACATCAGAGACTTTACCCTTGTGTTTATCGCAATGCCATGTTATGTTCATAACAACCATTGTAATAACGACAATAAAAAGTTGACGAGATATATAGTGCGATTTTTATAAATCTGCACCTCAAGGTCCGTTCCACAGTGACGTTATGTCACTGCTTTTCGCGGCGGTCTCGACCGTGCCGCTAGTTGTGGCGACCGTATCAAGCAGTGCTTGACTTGTGTCATCGAGCGGCACAACCAAGAAAGACGCGCAATGCTGTGACATAATGCCACTGTGAAGGTGGGCTTTCAGGCGCGGCTTTATAAAAATCACAGTATAATTACACACACAAGATATTTAATAAAACACGTATCATTTGACACGTTTTATATAACAATCCTCGTTTAAAACGGCAGTTTTTCTGCATTTCCGGTAAATGTTTACATTTTAGCCATAATACAGTTTGAAATATCACTTAATTACCAATATAAAAAGCTAAAAACAATACGTTTGTGAGTTTTGAGCAGGGTACTAAATAAATGACAACAGCGTCTATAGAAGTGATTGAGTCCATTTGAAAGTTTTAAGGGCGAGTCAATCCATAAAGTGAGTTCACCTCCATGACAATAGGGCTTCCTTAACATTAGCTTTCACTTATCTGAATACACTGGGTTGTGTTGGTAACGCACAGTGCACTGGAATACGATGAATTGCAGCCCAATAGCGCTTGCCCGTGAGCAGGCGAGCAGTCGAGCAGACGGAACATGCTCGGGATGGAGCCGGGAGAGCGGGAGGATAGATCGGAATTTTTTTTTTCACTCAGATTCATTATAATTTACTTTCATTAATATTCCACTCCCATAAGCGTAGTATTCAAAATTTAATTTCACCAAACAACACAAGAATCATGTCAAGCATTATGAATTTTTTATTATTGAATTATTTTATTAGTTTTGGTTAATTTATATAAAAGAGAAAAGATTATACAAAATATTTTTTCTGCTGATTCTAAGTAATCCGTATATTTTAACTTGCGGAAAAATAGTCTTCTACGACATTTCGATCAACAATTCAGCCAAAAGCTGGTACTACCTGAAAAGATTCAATTATATTAGTGAACCACAAAAACAGAAATGTATTTCAGTTCATTGCAGGTTTCTAAAAGGTTAAATCTTAAAAATAATTTCTAGAAAGTCAGTTGGTTGAAGTTCTTAAAAGTGAAATTATTTGCGAATATTTAGACGTATGGTAATACCAGTTGCGGGAAGTGAGAGAGAGGGGGTAGCAAAGACACTTCAAATAGTATGATCCTGAGCTAATTTATTATTCTTGGTGTAGGTGTATACGTATCTATGGTTCACACATAACCGGGAAATGTGACAATTTTACACGCGCGTGTTTGCGCGGCTTGTGATTAATGTTGTACTCCGAAAGAACCCACCTATTTACTCGGTCCATCGTCTTTTCTTATGAGTGATAGTAAATTTTAGCAAAACATCGATACATCGATCAATAAAAGGTTATTAATCAACTAAAACGTCGATATGATGAAACATATCAAAGAAAGAGTTAAAAAGTCCTGGTAATAATGTGATACATAACACAATATTAGTTTAATGCATATTCTGTCTAAACTTTGACTGCCATTTTAATTTTCTAATGAATGTTCAATGTCGTCAAGGTTCAAAATGCATTTTAACGATAATACTCCGTAAAAAATAATCAAACAGGTAATACTACTGCAGAAAGGTTGCAATAGGTTGCTCAAAATAGTAAACGGTTTCACGCCTGGGTGTTTCTGGGGATCGGTAGTAATGACATTTGTGAATGTCTGTTGATTGCGAGAAGTCCACAAAAATAGATACTGGAACTTTTATTTATATCATTAATTTTTGTTTTAAATATCGATTTTCCAGGACATTTCTTTTTATCTCACGAAAACATCGAAAGCAAAACATCCATGTTATAATTTCAATGTTTCTGCTCGAAAATATAGCTGTTTTAAAAACGTCGATATTTTTCAGGCATCACTAGTTTTTATAGCAATCTGGCTGCGCTACCCGCACCCGCCTCCTCATCCGTTTCCCGCGAACCTTCCAGCGTAAAAATTTTACAGTAACACTTAACTATACATGGCCGAAGCTTATCTTAACGTAACTCCATCTACGTACTGATCATTCCGGGCAACGTGGGCAGCAGTCGCATGCGCAAGGCCGGCAGGTTGGAGTTACAGGCTCCTGGCCATCAGCGCATTCCACGGGAGGGCACTTGAAGAAACAAACAGGACATGCAATTGTGGAACTAGACGTTTCGTGAACACCAACTGCGAGGATAAGAAGCGTCAGCATTGTCATCGCCACCACAGAATGTTGCTGACGGCCGCGCATTTTACGCTGAAACAATTATTATAAATTCAATTAAGATATTTACAGAAATAAAATTGACCATATAGCCCATTGCATCATTATAAATGTTTACGTCTTGGAAATATTTAGTCATTTGAAGCACTTTTCTTTAAAATTGAACAAAATCGTTTCAGTATTTTGGTGTTTCCGTTTCTGTGTTTTCCATTCTTGAACAAATTTCGAATTGCTGTTCAAACATAGCACCATCTTGAAAACTGAAATGTTTACGACAATTTTTGTTGCTTTATTGTTGTTCAGAATTAATTTTAAAATGGAATATAGTAATGGCGTTCCATGTCTTTGAATTCCGTATCATAAAATGTCCAAAACAGATTTTGTAAAAAAAAAAGGTTCATTTAAACGTAAAGACATTATTCGTAAGTTCCATTAAATTTCGATCATATTCCTTTGCATTGATCTTGTATGAGTAAGGTATGTGTTAAAATAAAACGTTTTGCTGTCCATTTAAAATTTCTTGTGTGATATTTCATGTGAACTATACACATTTCTGTCTGCTTGCCCTAGTGGTTCAGTTTTTGACTTTGAAATAAAGACTTCAGCCACTATCCAAATTAAATCACTTTACGTCAAGATCTATTCAAACCTCCCTAATATACTTCAAATGTTTTATACAAAGTATCCTTACTATTTTCATTATCTAAAATATCAAAATTGTTAATATGAATTGTAAAAATCGGATTTCTTTTCACCTCTATAGGTGCATTTCACTGTATTTTAACAATAAATATAACGAAACAATTTGGAGTATTTTTTGAGTAAATTACGAAAAAGTGACAGGGACTACATATAAAGTGCCCTCAAATTTAACTAACGTTTTTCAAAATCGCAGATCTTCAAGAGAGACCAGATGGACAGGGATGAGGTCAGAACGTCATGATTCAGTTTTTAAAAAATCCTATGTATAGTTTAGATGCTAGTGTTGTTTACATACACCAGCACGGATGGACGAACAGACAGACAGACAGACGAACGGACGGACGGACGTTTTGAAAATAAATACATTTTGTGTTATCAAGAAATCTTAATTTCTGAATTCTAAGCCATGTGTTAGGTGTACTAATTTACTACGTTTTAAAATAGGATTTATCCTCTTTTTCTGTATCAAAAATACGAGTTTTCTGTCGAAAAATAGCCGTTTATTTTGCTCCAGTGTATACGAGAAAGAAAATTTATTATTACACTTATTTACTTAAATGTATATTTGGTGTAATGTAAAATTAATAATTATTTATTTCACGAGTCCTCTAAATGAGTGTTTAAGAACGAAGCTGGAAGGTTAACTGCGAGGCGGAGCGATAGCAAAACCGAGTAGTTAACCTTCCGGCTGAGTTCTTAAAGACCAATAGAAGAAGAGGTACAAACTATGTTTTTTGTTATTTCTAGTTTATCGCTTATTCAAAATGAAATTTTTATCATTTTCCTAAGTTAGGAATTGCCTTTACTCGCGGTTTTCTGTAGCAAGAATTGATGGTACTGGATTCTTTGTTTGTGATCAAACAGTTGAAAGCTTTTTCTGGTAATGCAAGCTAATTGAGAAAAAGTGCCCTAGAATTTCGAAGTATTAGAAGACATTTTCGTGCCAGATGATATTCTGGAGAAAGCAGAAGCTGTCAGCTGTAGTTTGATACCTTCTGCAGTCTAATGTAACCACTTATGAGAATGCTTACTATTTATTTTGTGTTTGGCCAACGAATGTGCGTTCTATTAACGAAGTCATGAAGCTATCATACTACTTTCAATATGCCAATATACCAAAATAGTAGCAAAAATAAATTTTGTTTGCATTTATTCCCCAAAATTGTGTTTTGTATGAACGTCATATTTATCTCAAGATTTATGAGCAGTGATAAAATCTAAACCCGAAAGTAAGCAAAAATATTTTTAATAGTCCCAGGAGTATTTTAATGGCTGTTGCTATAGACTTTTAGCGTTGTTTAGATGGTTGGTTTCTGTTTAAATGGTTGGTTGCCAAGGGGCATAGTGCGTGTTTACCAACGTAAATAAAAAATACATTATCGTACAGACTTAAGTTCTTACGTATTGTTTTTCATTTCTGTATAATTAAAGCGAAAAACATAATATTGTCTCTCTAGGGAGCTAGTGTTTAATCTCTGTTTGGCATTTGATGTCATAGAAACTGACTTCTACGATCGTGAAAAAATATAGTATTTTTTATTTTGGTTTCCTTACCGTTTATAAATACCCTCATTAAATGGGTATAAAATAGTTTTATTCACATTAATGTTATGAAAATAATTGAAACTAACTCGAAAATAAACACGTTGTCTGAAGAACGTACATGTATTATAAGATTGTATAAAATAAAATAATATGAAACATACCTCCGTAATGACTATTCAGTCTACTTGAAAGGTCTTTCTAAACTAAACCTATTTCTTCAACAAAGTACCTTGGACATGACATATTTCCCACCTCCACTGTTATGAAATTGATAAAAAACGAGTTTCAGATAAAAATAGGTATTCCCTGTGTATGATAAACAAACAATGAGTTGATATATCATTTCTGTCAAAATATAAACACAACCTTATTAACATAGAGTGTTTATCGTTTATTTATTCCAAAATGTTTTATTATTCAGGTGTGTGTGGGAGATCTACGTTTATTTCTAAGAAACTAAGCTACATTCCAAGCTCACCCAATTTATTAAACACCGTAATGATTCCGCATATCAATTACTAATGACAAATATTATTGTGTTATTACTAATGCAACAAGTATTACTAATGACATCAGTATTCACAAAGTGATTGCAAAATGACGAATCAAATAGGTTTCACAAGCATGTCTGAAAAGGAGTCATAATTTGGCTGAGTCGATGTTTCTTAAAGCATTACTTTTCAAGAGAGTGATCCACTTCCCCAGCATTTATCCGCCGACACCGATGTGGTCCGGTAATCGATGAGTCGGCTCACCGGAGGGGTGGGGATGTAAGGGAAGACGACCTGGCGCGATCGGCTCTGGTGTAGGTAAAGGAGAGTGGCACTCAGACTACCGCTTCTAGTTTCTCCAGATCGATCGAGGAATATCGATTTTAGAGAAAACGCTTTAGGTACTAACCTTGACCACAGACGAATAGACGTACAGACTTTTGCCGTCAATGCACTTTTTTGTTACTAGGACTCAGCAAGAAGAGTTTTTCTGCTGAAAACCTGCCGTTTCCCGGTGCTTCTTTTCTTAAGACGTGAGTGCGAGGAACTAAAAAATCGCTATATTGTCTTCGCTAACTAAAACCACACACTCATATCACGCTACTCGAAATATCGACTGTTTTAATAAATCAACTACAGTAATAAAGTACAGTGAAGTAATGAACAAATGAAGGCAGTCAAAATTTCATTCTGCTACTTTGAAGATATTATTAGCATTTGGCGTTAATATTAATAATGTACATCTAGGGCTCACAACCTTTTATTTACAGCAAAAATACAAAATGTGTTAGAATAGAAAAGTACCGTTCTTTCTGAAGGAAACCCTTTGGTGTTTTAAATTTAAAGATATAATAAACATTGGTTTATAATAATTTAAATCCTAATAATTCTTAGAATATCTCCTGTATTATCAGAAAGTCAGCAGGAACACTGATAACCCGTGATATAACTGCTAGGATTACATAATTTAGGGAAAAGTTCTATAACCTGACCGTGACTACCAAAGTTGGTAACGGCAATTTGCACTGTTAAATAGGGCACTCATAAGCAGCTTCTACTAGAAAGGGTAGAGGCATTTAAGCAGGCTTTCATACTATGCAAAATAACTTATTACTATAATATAAAGTTCTAGGTAATATTCTGCGAGACTAGAGAACCGTTTCCTGAATGAACTCGAGATTTTAGTGTTAAGTCCGCTTTTTGTGGTCTATTTTGCGTCCTTTTGCGGGTACTGAAATTCACAGTAAATGTTGTTTTACACGACAGTGTTTCTTTATCTAATGTTGGTAAAACAACTTGTACAATCGAAGATTCCTCCCGCTTCAGTCAATGACGTAGGGACAAAACGTGAGGCTGCAACGTTTTCCTTCATGGTTTCTGGTTATCTTTCAGTACAAACGTTGCCAGTTACAAGCGCAGATAATTAATCAATCGTGACAACCGTTATGTCAGGGTAAAGTTTAAGAAGGAAATGCATGTTTTACTCTGTAATTTTGAGAAGTAACACCAAGAGAGATATGGTGTCTGTAAAGAATAAGTACGCATGCTTCATTTTCATTACAGATATCCAGACTAAAGCCCGTCTTACATTTTGGCCGTGGCGTGTCCCTTTCTTATAAATCGAAGAAAATTGATGCAAAATAAACAGCGAAATGCGGGATTTAAATCTTTATATTTATAAACAGGTCATTATATCCTCACTCTCCAAGTAAACACAAATGTCTATTTCTCCAAATAGTCTCGATGGATTTGTTAAAAGTCATCAACAGTTCCCCAGCACACCATGACACGTTGAATGACACATTTGTCTTCATTGATGGACCGGAGTCTATCAGCGAATGACGGACAGACTCAGGTTAATGAACTATAGAGGTTGTATGTATCGGCAATAGTTCTGTGAAATCACTCCATTTTAATAAAACCCATCGGTGAGTATATGATGAGCTAGCTGGTCGTTCAATTTTTCACAAGTGACACGCAATTTCATTCAAAGTTAATTTTCTTTTATGTTGCAGAATTCAATTCTTCTCCTTAACTTTTATTATAAGGTCTGTAGTGATATATTTGTTTTAAGATGCGCTCAGTTCTAATTCTGTGTAGTTGTTGGGACCATCGGATTCTTATTTTATTTATTAATGGGTGCACTTTTAATTCTTCTCTGATTATCTAATTTTTTGTCTAATATAGTGCAGTCTTTGACTTGCATCAAAAAACTTATCTCAGACGTCTGAATTCTGGCAAAATCTTTCTTTTTCATGGCCTACGTCTCGCATCCACAAAGAAGTATGGAGGTAGCTATTGTTTTGTAAAATTTAAGATGTGTTTCCTTTCTTGTTTTTTCTCAGATATTTTGTTATTGTTCCACAGATGTTTTGGAATGTTTGGTTTTTTATTGAAAAATCTTAATTGAATTCAAAAGTAATATCACAGCCCAAATATTTAAAAAGGCTAACTTTAAATGTTATTATTTATTATCTACAATTTTATTATTTATTATTATCTTACATAGTATAGGATGTTTGCCTCTAAGCGCTATGGCGAATTTCTCAAATTAAGATAGCATGCTGAAGACGGAACAGGAGACTCTCCTAATCCCTGAAGAGATTATGATGAGCTTTTATTATACTTATTTAACTTATTTAAAGACAGTTATAATTAATTCAGAAAGATTAACTACCATTTAAGAAAATTGAAGAATGTTTCAGATCATGATATGAATATTTTTTAATGTTTACTTTTGTTTTTAAATTAATGTCTTGAATTCAACTGTGACCATAAACCATGATCTAGGACACTCATTATTTATTATTGTTTAACCTATCATTTAACCTATTGACTAAATGATTAATGTAAAACTATTTTCAGCATGTTGAATTTGTTTGGATTGGACAGGTAATCAATATTTTTTTATTCATTGATTGGATTACGTAAATTGAATTACCCCAGCTACTGCAACAGATTGACGTGTCTTTCCTACAAATAAGCAAGTTTTTGTAAACTCTTTCCTATTCTACTAATTCAAATTGCACATAACTATTAAATAATCAGCATTTCAATCAATACTCGAGTTTTATTTTTAACTATTCTATTAAAAATATATTGAGCTCGTAATTTTTTATGTCATGACTCCTTTTATGTAATAGTATAAAACGTTCTTATTCATTACGTCACCGATTTTCGCGCGTGCTTCGTCTTTCTCGTGTGGAAGTTGCCACGAATATCTTCTTTCTTCGACTCTTGTTCCGGTCCAATGTCCTAATATCACTAACTTTAAATGCGAAGTTCCAAACGTTCACTCGACTTCATAGTTTTTTCACCGCAGATGCCGGCTCCCAAATACTGCTCTAAAAATCCTGTCATTCTATCGCTAGTAATATAAGTCTTTGTTCTTTACTGTTCCGCATAGTTAGTACTATCTTACTCGATTAACTGATAGAAATTCCACCATTAATAATCATTTTTATCTTTTAGAATCGACCGACGCTATCTGCCAAACATACATCCATCAAACTTTGCTCAGACGTCTACTACTCTGACGTCTTCTTGTTTATTTTATCTCGCCCGCATCCTCATAGATACATATTACAAAAGGGTTCATCTACCTATTTGTCTATTCCCAATTTAATGAGAGTCCCAATTATTCCGACTATTTTTGGTATGTCACAACGTCCGCCATCTTAAGCGTCATATTACCTACTTTAGTTTGATATATGACAAGATAATTTTTCCCTTTATTAAATATTTACTTACATCTTCATATCATCTTGCACTGGTACCCCCACACATGTTTTAACTACACATTCACTCATCTTCTTTCATGCCTTATATTTAATTACATGTTTCGAATTGCCAATCTTTCACAATTATCCATTTCATTACTATTTCTACCTTTCTATATATTTACTGTTGCGTTTGGAGACTTTATTTCTGCTCATGTTTACTTCACTTTATTGTCTTTCCTCACTATCTTTGTATTCCTTTATCTTTCCTCTTCTTCTTATTTTTCTTACATAAGATATACTTCTTAATAAACATATATACTTCTTAATAATGACTATTTCTTTAAGTTATTGAAATGGTTGGCAATTTCTTTTATGTAACTCAGCTGATTATTTGTGTCAATACTTGAATTTCCAGAAACACTTTCGTCAAATTTGCCTCACTTGAACCGTCATTGCAATGTTTTCTATTTTTATCACTAATTATTCTGGTACTATTAGATAAGCAAATTGTAATGTATTTCTACCTATTTTTGTATCCAAATTTGACCTGCTTGCTCCATTATTCAATTCACTCGTGTTGGATTACGTAATTTTACTAACCCCTGCCAATACAACTGGTTGACGTGCCTTTCGTACAAATAAGGAAGATTTCTTACTTTCACATATACATAGGTATACACGGAGCAATATACATAGTATAGGGATCGGTAAGAAATGTGCGAAAAAACGGCGGATTTTTGGCAGAAAAAAATTCTTCCTGAGCCTGATAACGAAAAAGTTAATAAATGCAGTTGCTATGTTGGCTATAAGTCCTATTACTGTTATTGGAACAAACTACCAATTATTAATTCAAGACGTCTCTAAAATTGTACATCGTGAATTCTATACTAAAGTTTGTAATAATGAAATCAAAATATGCTTTACAACTATCGAAGACTTCAAAAATGACCGTAAATTCTGTGAAACAAACAATACACAATCCGTCTAATAACTGTTTTCCAACTAATAAGTGCCATCCATCTAGT